GAAGTGGTCTCAAGTCCAGAAAGAACTCATGTAAGAGCTCAAAAATCATATAAGACAGTCAGAAGAAAAACTGGGAAAGGAAATGAGTGTGATGCAAGAGAATTATGAAAAAAAGAATCAATAGCTTGGAAAAAGAAAACAACTGCTTAAAAAGTAGAATTGGCCAAATGGAAAAGGATGTACAAAAGCTAACTGATGAAAATAACTTGTTAAAAGTTAGAATTGAGGGGCAGCTAGGTGGCGCAGCAGATAGAGCACCGGCCCTGGAGTCAGGAGGACCTGAGTTCAAATCCGGCCTCAGACACATAACACTTATTAGCTGAGTGACCTTGGGCAAGTCACGTAACCCCATTACCTAGCCAAAAAAAAAAAAATAGTTAGAACTGGGCAAGTGGAAGCTAATGATTCTATGAGACATCAAGAATCAAACAAATTCAAAAGAATGAAGAGGTAGAAGAAAATGTAAAATACCTATTGGAAAAACAATTGACCTGGAAAATAGATCCGGGAGAGGCAATGGCAGAATCAATACACTACCTGAAAGCCATAATCAAAAGGAGAACTTGGCCAGTATCTTTCAATAAATTATCAAGGAAAACTGCCCTGATGTCTTGGAACTAGAGGGCAAAATAGATATCAAAAGAATCCACTGTTCACCTCAGGAAATAGGTCCCAAAATAAAAACCCCAAGGAACATTATAGTCAAATTTCAGAACTATCAGGTCAAGGAAAAAATACTGCAAGTGGCCAAAAAGAAACAATTCAAATATCAGGGAGCCACAATCAGGATCACACATGATAGTAGCTGCAACATTAAAGGACTGAAGATCATGGAACATGATATTCTGGAAGTCAAAGGAGCTAGGACTACAACCAAGAATCACCTACCGGGCAAAAGTAAGCATACTTCAAAGGAAAAAATGGTCAATCAATGAAGTAGAAGGATTTCAAGCTTTCATAAGACCAGAATTGAACAAAAAATTCAATCTCTAATATCAAGACCCAAGAAAAGCCTAAAAAGGTAAAAAGGGAAAAGAAAATATAAGAAATTCAATGAAGCTGAACTATTTACATCCCTACATGGGAAAATTGATACTTGTAATTCTTAAAAATTGTACCACTAATAGTACAGCTAGAAGGAATATACATAAATAGGTGGTACAGGTATAATTTGAGAGAATGACATAAAAAATTAAGGGATGAGAAAGAGGAAAACACTTGGTGCAGAAGGAAGGAAGAGGTAGAATGGGGTAAATTATTTCACATGAAGAGGTTCACAAAACCTATTACAGTGGAGGGAAGGATCAGAGGGTGGGCGATGGGCATCACTTGAACCTTACTCTCATCAGTATTGACTGAAAGAGGGAATACTATGCACAATCCACTGAATATAGAAATCTATCTCACCCAACAGGAAAGTAGGAGGACAGTAAATTAAGTAAAAGGGAGGGGACACTGACAGAAGGGAGGGCAGACCAAGGAAGGTGGTAGACAGAAGCAAAACACTGTCAAGGAGGGAAAGAGTGAAAGGAGAGAGTGGACAAACAGGAGGAAAAAGAGGATGCAGGGAAATACATAGTAATCATGACTGTGAAATGTGAAGGGGATGAACTCTCCCATAAAATGGAAGCAGATAGCAGTGGATCAAAAACCAGAATGCTGCAATATGTTGTTTACAAGAAATACACTTGAAGCAGAGAGACACACAGAGTAAAGTAAGCAAAATCTATTATGCTTCAGCTAAAGTAAAAAAAAAAAAAAAACAAAAAACCAGGGGCAGCAATCCTGATCTCAAACAAAGCAAAAGCAAAAACAGATCTAATTGAAAGAGATAAGGAAGGAAACTATATCTTGCTAAAAGGTACCATAGACAATGAAGCAGTATCAATACTAAACATACATGCACAAGTGGTATAGCATCCAAATTCTAAAAGGAGAAGTTAAGCAAGTTATAGGTTCGTAACTAAAACAAGAGATAGAGAGCACTACAAAATATAAAATAGATAATTTTTATTATATTAAATTAAAAATCTTTTGTACAAACAAAACCAACTCAACCTAGATTAGAAGGAAAGCAGAAAGCTGGGAAACAATCTTTATAGCAAGTGTCTCTGATAAAGGCCTCATTTCTCAAATATACAGAGACTAATTATAAGAAAACATGCCATTTCCCAATTGATAAATCGTCAAAGGATATGAACAGGCAGTTTTCAGATGAAGAAATCAAAGCTATCTATAGGCATATGAAGAAGTGTTCTAAATCATTTTTGATTTGAGAAATGCAAACTGAAACAACTCTGAGGTACCACCTCACACCTACCAGATTGACTAATATGACAAAAAAGGAAAATAAATGTTGGAGAGGATGTGGGAAAATTGGGACACTAATGCATTGTTGATGGAGTTGTGAACTGATCCAACCATTCTGAGAGCAATTTGGAACTATGTCCAAAGGATAACCAAACTGCACATACCCTTTGATCCAGCAATACCACTACTAGGCCTGTATCCCAAAGAGATCATAAAAAATGGAAAAGGACCTATATGTGCAAAAATATTTATAGCAGCCCTTTTTGTTGTGGCAAAATATCAGAAACTGAGGGGACACCCATCAATTGGGGAATGGCTGAGCAAACTGTGGTGCATGAATGTAATGGAATACTATTGTGCAATAAGAAATGATGAACAGGCAGATTTCAGAAAAACCTGGGAAGATTTATATAAACCGATGCAAAGTGAAATGAGCAGAACCAGGAAAACACTGTGCATAGTAACAGCAACATTGTGTGATGATCAATATGAATGACTCAGCTCCAAGACAAGTACAAAAGACTCATGAAGGAAAATGCTATCTACATCCAGATAAAGAACTGATGGACTCTGAATGCAGATAGAAGCATACTTTTTTCACTATTCCTTTTCTTGTTTTTTTTTAATTTTATTTTAATCTGTTTCTTCTTTCACAACTGTGACTAATATAGAAATATGTTTTACATGATAGCACATGTATATCAAATTGCCTCCCATTATAAGAAGAGAGGAGTGGAGGAGGGGAGAGAGAAAAATTCGAAACTCAAAATCTTGTAAAAATGAATGCTAAAAATTGTCTTGATATGTAATTGGGGGAAAAAATAAAATACTATTACAAAGACAAAAAAATCTCTAGCACTGGAGCTTACATTCTAAGGGAGATGACAGAATTTGTGTACATATACACAAGTAAGTAAATGCAAAGTATAAGGTAATTTAGAGAATGAGACAGTGTTGATAACTGATGGGATCAGGAGCCCATTGACAATCTTCCTGACTCCAGGACCAGTGCTCTATCCACTGCACCAAGCTACTCCTAAAATGGTACAAGTTGGGGCAGTTAGGTGGCACAATGGATAAAACACCAACCCTGGAATCAGGAGCACCTGAGTTCAAATCTGGTCTCAGACACTTGACACTCACTAGCTGTGTGACTCTGGGCAAATCACTTAACCCCAATTGCCTCACCAAGAGAAAAAACAAAAACAAAAACAAAAACAAAACTCTAAAATGGTACAAGTCCCAAGTGCTACACCAATGCCATAAAGACATTAAAAAAGGACCAATGAATGGCCTTCAAATATTCAGTAGATTCTCTTCATAGGATTTACAGAAATATGTGTATAAGAGTTGCCCAGGATTAGAAGTCTGCATGCCATCTGCATGGTGGAAGGAATACCAACACCACTGAACTCATGGATCCATCTAAGGATTTAAATAGATGAAAAGCATTGCTTACAGCAAATTAAGGCTGAACATTACTACATGGAGGATGATTTTTTTTCTTGAACTTCTTTTAGAATAACTACCTAATTCTAACTCAGCATTTGTGAGATGGAGATTTAGGGCAAAGAACTTTCTACCATGCTGTTAGAAATACAATTTCCTCTTGACTTCATCATGCCTATAATCTTTTTTCTTCTCAGACTTTGCTTCCTAATTACTAAAAATTAGACAGAAGAGTTAGACAGTCCCCTCAATTTCCAATATTTTGCCACCACAAAAAGGGCTGCTATAAATATTTTTGCACATGTAGGTCCTTTTCCCTCTTTTATGACATTAGACAGACAATTAGACAGAACTATAAATAGCTCATATCCTAAAACATCCTATCCCCATCCTCATCCCCAATTAACACACGTCACTCTCCCGTTATTCTGCTTCAGAGCTCTGACTGTCAGGAATGGTCATCATTATTAAGCTGAATGTAAAGCACAGGCTTATATATCACATACTTTCTTCTTTGCTATATGTCTTTAATCAAAACCCAGGGATGAAATAATCTCTGTGGATTACCTCTTCTATTGGACAATGACAGGCTTAAAATAAATTGAGAAAACACAATCAGATGAATGATTCCCTAATAATACACAAACACAAAGTCAACATTTGGCTTCCATTAGCAGCATTTGGTAAGGCCTAATAATCATGAGGTATAATGAAAACATATAAACTTTTATTAGGGACAAAATTAAAATATCACTTAAATTATTACAGATTTTATTAACTATTAATAAATGCACTACATTTGTTAGTACAATGTATCATATGATATAAAAAGCTCATTAGCATGAAATACTTATTTTTAAAGGATGATTTACTAGAAATAACATTTTATTACATAGGTATACATAAATCAAGAAGCCTTTCCCAGGCTTCCTTTGCTTTAGTTCTTTCCCTCTGAGATTATCTTCAGTTTATTCAGTATATATCTTCCTTGTAATAATTGTTTACATGTTATCTCCCTTATTGAACTCTGATGGCAAGGACTGTTTTTTTTGGGGGGGGGTGATCTTTTGGGGGGTCCTTTTTTTTCTGTGTTCCCAGAATTTAGAACGGGGTTACTTAATAAATGTTTGGTGACTTGACTTGTCATACATACCATTAGAATATTACTTATATGATCATATTTACCACAGATGACAGTGTAACAACTGCTATCATTTTATTAATATATAAGTGACTCTCACCTGTCACCAGTGTTGTTTTGAGAAGCTGAATTCAGTAATTCTTCCTTTGATAGAATCCAATCATTCAAATGTACTGAAAAAAAGGAATAATTTTTAATGTGAAAAACTACATGATGTATACTTTTCATTACACACCAAAACATTTCTGTATATTTCCTTTTCACTTCCTCTACAAATGACAGCACTCTATTGATCTGAAGCCAGACTTTAAAGTACAAATTCTGACCAGTAAGAAACTTGGTCCTAACTTATCTAGGATGTCTTTCTAGAAATGCTACTTTTCTAGAAAATAGATGGAATGGTTTTAGTAACTCCAGCTAAGGAAAAGCTTGTTTGATACATTTCAAGCTAGCAATTCCAACCAATTCTAGGACTGCTTGGGATAAATGGTGTCAGCAAATCTATATTTCTACCCTAGTAGCTATGAAGAGTATTTCCAGATCCTGGAATACGTTGAACTGAAGGTTGATATTGAAATGCAACTTAATGGTAACTTCAATATGTCACAAATTCTATGAGCATGCTGTTGAAGAAGGATGACTGGAGAATACCTGGGGATTTAGAATGAAAAAAATCCTGACCAATTAGCAAACTACACCAATCCAAAGTTTCAGATGGTTTGGGGAATTTGTTTATCCATGTCTCTTACAGCTGTCATTTTAGTTATGTCATGGGATGCCTTTAACAATTTTTAAAAGAAAACAATGTACTAGTCAATATGGTGTGTCAATAATTTCTTTGATGATTATCTCCTATTTGCAAAGTTTGGCATTAGGTTAAAGATGCTAGTCTTGACCATAAGTGTTGACTAAGTTACAAAGTGAAGAAGAAAAGCATAAAGTAATTTCTGCTTGTGGTTTTAAGGGAAAGTATATCCAGACAGAAGAATTCTTTCCATCTAGCTAACTACATATAATAAGATGCAAGATTTCCAAGTGAATTATTCCTGGCTTTGACATTAAATTTTGGGGAAAAAATCCCAACCTTGTGTACTAGGATGTGAGTCATAAATGATCCATAAATGCATAAATGAGAAGGAAATCAATTATGGCCAGAGTGGTAGTGTCCTATCACGGCACTTGGTAGCTGCCACCAAGAGTAACTGCAGGTGTTAAGATGCATTTAAAAATTCTACAAAGTCTTATATGCTTATGTGTTCCAAAGAAGTTTTGGGAAATGACAGGCAAGTTTACAGGTTCCAGGTGGTTTTGTTCTTAGTCACATAAAGAGGACATTTCTTAAAAGTATCATTTTAGCATTATTTTACAATATAATATTATTTTAATGTAGATTTAGAGGAATAACTGCCAATCCTCTAATACCCTTATTAGTGAATTTATAGTAACCAACAGAATAGGAGTCAACTGTGTATATTTATCACATCAGAAAAGTACTGACTATATTTACCATATAACTCAAACGAGTGTTTGTGCGTTGTTCCTCACTGCTAACAAAGTGAAGTAAGACTGCTTTGGTAGTAGTGGAGAGATTCCTTCCTCTAGAATTTAGACAATGTAAGGAAAAAAGCCTATCAATTCTCATACAATATAACTCTGTGACTTCCATCATTAATCAATAGCCTAATGCAGAGTGTAGGTTATAAAATTAATGCTGTTGATGAGTGAAAGAAGTGTCAAGAAGAGAACGCAATCAATCAGCTATCAAACTTCAGGATGGACCAGTAAGGCTCTGAAGCAAGGAAGCACAGCCGCATGTGGGAAAGTGGAGGACAGAATCTAGAAGACAGTTGCCTAGAGAAACTCAATAATGTTGAGAATAGTTTTATTATTTATTTTTACAAGTGCAAATATTGGCTTCTTGCCAATATTTATATAAAATACATTTGTAATAAGGCTGACTCATTTTTATTCTGAATGAATTGTTAGGTTAGAAAAGGGAATGTTAAGCAGTTGCATTTCTTCAAGAGGCACCAAATATTTTATTCTGCTTCATGCTCTATGATAAATAACAAAATCCAAACACTAGCAATGCTGTACAAGTTGTCAAAAAGTTTTTTGGTATTCATATCCTAGTACAAAAGGTTGTTCCCACCTCCCCCCCCCGCCTCAATTTTAATGTCAAAGCCAGGAATAATTCACCTGGAAAATTTTTAGCTTATCATATACAATTAGCTAGATGGAAAGAGCTCTTCATCTATCTGGATATACTTTCCCTAAAAGCTGCAAGCAGAAATTACTTTATGCTTTTCTTTTTCACTATGCAACTTAGTCAGCATTGATGGCTGATGGGCTTAAGGCAGTGAAAGGTGCAGAAAAGCAAAGTAATATCACTGGGAAATTCCATGCTGATTTAAATAACCAAAAAACAGATTAGAATTGTTAGGATTAAATATAATCAATGTGAGAAAAATAAAAATAAATGTTTGTTTGCTTCCAAGAATGGCAAAGAGTAAAGTCAGCAGGCATAACTTAACAAAAGCATCAGTGAAGATGACAGGATTAATGCCCCACTGTCTATGCACACAATGAGTGGAAAGTCCTAAGAAAACTGAATAGAATAAGAAAAATGGGTTCTCTCACGTACAAGTCTTATTATCATTATAAAATAGGGCAATGCTTAGTGTATAACTGCCACTAGTTTATGTATAGGACCTTAAGAAAGAAAAACTTTTCTAATCATATCTGACATGACAGAAAGAGAATATAAGCTGCACTAAAATTCTTATGACAAACTGCAAGGTAGGCATATTTGAGGGGAATCTGACACATCATCACTTTTCACAGATTTACTCTCTAAGGACAGGAAACTACGTAGGATGATACTGACTCAGTAAAGAAGAAGGGTGGTTTACCATTTTGTAATCTGTTCAAATGGTATATTATTGGTCCTCAGTATTATCTATTTTACAATATACTAGGCCCCATGTCATCTCTTTTCTCTGAATACCAAATTGCTGCTTCTGACTTTGACTTCCTGGAGTCCATTTCTCACCCTGAGCCAGTGGTGGGCTAGGGCAGGGTGTACAGTCATAGCAAAGAGAAATGGGAGAGCAGATCTCAGAGCCCTGTTGGTCTTTCATTTCTCCTGTAGCTAACCTGGTCCTCATCCTAGGTGTAACATTCTCAGTCCTTCTCCCTTTTTTTTTTCAAGGCAATTGGGTTAAGTGACTTGCCCAGGGTCACACAGCTAGTGTCAAGTGTTTGGTCTGAGGCCGAATTTGAACTCAGCCCTCCTGACTTTAGGGCTGGTGCTCTATCCACTGCGCCACCTAGCTGCACCCTCTTGTCCCTTTAAATAAACTTAGAGACCATTAGGATTTCTTGCTCTAACAGAGCTTCTGGCTCTCAAGGAGCCAAGAGATTGTTTGGTCCAGGGGTGGGGAACCTGTGGCCTTGAGGCCACATGTGGCCTCCTAGGTTGTCATGTAAGGCCCTTCAACTGAATCCAAACTTGTTCTGTGAAGTTTGGCTCTGGAACAATTCTTTCATTCTATATGTGAGGATATTCAGCCATCATTTATATTAGACTGTTTCTGGATCCAAATGTGACTGCATTGGGGAGGAAATTTCCTCCAGCAATGCAGAACATCTAGCTCTTCTGCAACTTAGGTCTTACAGTACTGACGGAGGAACTGAGTGTTACGTGACTTGCCTAGGGTCACCATGATGATATATATGTATGTATCTGAATTGGAACTTGATTTCAGTGTTCCTGACTCCAAGACCAGCTTTTTATTCACTGCATACACTGCCTCTCATTACATATCTATTACTTACAAAGTATGGGACAACTATACAGCTATGGTTTCAGGACCAGTTTAATTACACTTGGTGAGGCCTATGTTGGCTGATTGTGGTTGTTTTGTTTGTTTTGTTTTTTGGTGACAGTGACATTTGAAGACCATCTACCAAGTCATGTCGTTGTTGGCTTGTTTCAGTTGTGTGCGACTCTTTGTGACCCCCTTTTTGGGGTTTTCTTGGCAAAGATTCTGAAGTAGTTTGCCATTTCCTTCTCCAGCTCATTTAATAGATAGGAAACTGAGGCAAACAGGGTTAAGTGATTTGCCTAAGGTCACACAGTTATTAAGTGTCTTGAGGCCGGATTTGAATTCAGGAAGATGAGTCTTCCTGATTCCAAGCCCAATGCTCTATCCCCTGCACCATCTAGCTGCCTTCTACTAAGTCGTGGCATGGGTGTAATCTGCATCACTGGGTGGCAATCCACTCTCAGGATGAAAACAATTCCATATTAGATGAACTCTTAATAAACGATATTATATTAGGATTGAAGGCAATTGGGAAAACAATTTTGTTGCTGTCATGTCCTCTATAGTAACAATGAGCTGTTGACAGATCTTCATGGTCCTTTGTGTTTCATTTGTATTGATACTGCAAAAAGTAGAGATATTTTTGCAGATATACTATCTGCAGACTGTAGAGAAAATGGGACAGCCCAGTGTGCTGAAGTTCTGTCATCATCTGGTTTGTTGCAGTTGACATAATGCTATTGCAGTCATAGTTAGCACAAACTTCTGTAGTTTCAGAAGTGCACACATTTCTCCTGTCAATACTGAAATCATATATTCTTAAAATACTAAAGTATGTGTAAAACATTTGGCAAGGCAATGGGTTAAGTTAAAGTGATAATTAAGGCATTTTCTCTGCAGTCATGACGTTTACAATCTAGTTGCAGTTTAGGGCACAAGGAGTATGCAAATATGCAATGGCTATCCAGTAGCTATGATAACTATAATAATGAAAAGAAAGTTAATTTTTTTTAAAATCCTGAACTTAACACTAAGGAAAATAAGCATTTCAGCATACAAAGTAGAACAGAACAAGAGGATTGTATATGAAAATACAAATCTCTATTATATACAACTAGCTTTTCCTTTAATGTATGTAATAAATGATGAACAGAATCAATAGACTCCATTCATAGAGGGTACAAAGATGTGAGATATATAGTGAGATGCAAGGTCTGAGGAAGGAAAAATCAATCATCCCTGACTGGTAGAACAGGATGGGTTTCATGGGAAGGGGATATTTATGTGGGTCTTGAAGGATAAGAAGAATTTTAAAGGGCCAAGACAGGTGGAAAGGGCAACGCAAG